TCACATGTATATGAAATTACACGACTCTATTTCAATTTGGATGTTGGAAGTATTTTATTGGGCTCATTTAGCTTCAGCAAATGTGAGAGACATTCTCTTAGATGTATGACTTATCCGAGATTATTAGTCAAAAATTTACTTGATGGCGTTAACATGTGGGAAAGAGGTAGGATCAAATCCCCCTGTGATTGATCTTCCAATAATTGAGATAAAAAACATCCTCTTAGGATGTTTGACCTATTCCGATGTTATTTATCAGAGCGTTGATCGATGACGTTAACAAGTGGGGAAGAGACCGGATCAAATCCTCTTAAGATTGATCATCTAGTGATTTCTCGAATCAAATATTTTATAATTTGATAGACATCTTCCTAAGTTGTTTGACCTATCCGAAGTTGTATGTCAGAGCGCTGCTCGATGATATTAACATTTATATAAGAGTTCGAATCGAATCCCCCCAAGATTGATCATATAGTGATTGAGTCACAATAATGATTGTGTATTGCTCAAATCATGGATAATGATATTAGATTCGTCATTAATTTTTTATTGTCATTTTTTATCCTTTTTAAAGAAGGAGACAATATCATAACAGAGCGAACAACGCGTTACTGTATTATGTAAGATAATACAATAGCTTCCTAATATGACTTAGGGATATAGTAGTTACATCATACTCAACACATAAGAGATACATACGGGGATAACACAATATTTAACTTGGAAGAAAATACCATGGATACCAGAGTGACACCATATTCAACATAGAAGAAATACACGATGACATAAGACAAATAGTATTATTAACAAAAAAACCAAACTGTATAGTCATTTAAGGGTGCTCTTCTGATATGGATATAGAAGTGAGTCCTTCCATGAGAGAAGCTCTCTAAGGGATATATTCGTTTCGAAAATTAAAATCCTCAATGCTTAGGGTAACAGCTGATAGGCGTGGTTGAGCCTACTTAAGATAGCAGGATTGCGCCACTTGTTGATCTCCGCATATTATACTGACTCCCGTCAGGGTAAGAAACTTCAATTTAAGGTGAGGGATGGAAACGATAATCCCGAAGATCGACTAGAATGACCTTTCAAAGATAGCATTATAAGTCGATTCCGACTTTGCTACAATAAATTGGAAGGAATGCGTAGTCTATTGGGAAAATTCTAAAAGTATAACTAGGAGACTAATTGTCCGTTCCATTCTTATGGCTCCATTATCAAATTCATACAGTGGACCTGGGACATGTTGAAGTTTTTCTCTGGTGAGACCTATATTGAGAAAAGTAGAGTAGAATAAGACATCCACGAAGCTCCCATTGTTCACTAATATTCTTTTGACATTGTAACACGGGTCACCTATCCCCGCATTAATCACAAGCGGATCTTGATGGTGGGTTTTACTCCCTCCAAATCAGAATCATCAAAGGTAATAGAACGATCGATTCGGGACTTCTATGGAGTCTACTTTTCATCTATTGCAAATAAGATTTGATTGGTAATAAGGGGCTTCCTGCAATGGTTTCAATCTCACCAACCGTTTGACAATTATTCAACGATTGCCTTTATTGATGTTGGTCTTGCCCCCCAATGGGACGAGCTTCCTCCATAGCAAGTGGATCTTGAATAAATCGTCGAAGGTAGTCTTGGCAGATAAGTCTCTCAATTCCATCCTTGAGCTAGTTATAGGTTTCAGTGGTGTGCCACGACTATAATGGAAATGTCAGTATTGATCCTGATTTCCTGTATTCTACTTCAAAGGGTTCAGCCACTTTGCGTTCTCCTAATCTCGAATGGCCATTAATATATTTGATCGAGATGCATTTAGTGGTGTATATTTCTTTTCTTGTCCAGGTTTACGTCGTGGCAATGGGGGCCTTAGAGGTAGGTTTCTCTTGCCTTGTTTCTTTCGTCGTGAGAACAAATTACCTACTCCTGATGCATTTTTACGTTTTCCATTTGTTAGCTCAAGCAGCTTTCTATGAGCATTTATAGCTTCATCTACAGAGATTTGTGCCTCCACATGATGAATCAATTCAGTGTATAAATCAAATGTATGTCGCATAAGTGCTGAGTAAAAGGGACTAAGACATAAGACTAAAAAAAACTCTTCTCAGTAATTCAAGATCTACTCCTGAAATTTACCCAGCCTCGATGGAAAATCGTTAAAAATACTTCTTCAACGATTCTCCTTCATTTTGACGAATCCCAAAGAGGTAAGAAGAATTCTTAGCAATTCTTCGATTGACAACGAATTGTTCGACAAACAATTTGACCAATTTGAGACGAATGTGGGGATAGTTCTGTCTTGAAGTGTATAGAACCATGTTCGAGCTTGTCCTTTGAGGGTGGCAGGAAAACATCTAACAGTGATACTTGTATTGATTTAGCAAGAGAAAGGAAATAAGAGTTCTTTTTCCTTTTCTTCCTCATTATAAGTCCAAGATTTTTTTTTTTTATCTTTCATAAAAGCAAGTTTAAACCCTCAAATATGGTTTTTATCCATGAAGAAAATGATAATTGATCCAAAGTTAGGGATGCTAATGCTAAGAGATTCACTATTTAAAAAAAAAAAAATCTGAATTTATATTTGGTTATAGGGCTTTGAAAAATTCATAAACTCAGACTTATATTTTATGGTTTTGAAATATTATTTGCAAAATTATAATTAAAGAATTGAAAAAAAAATAATTAAATTATTATTTTTAAATTATTGAATTTTAAATGGAACAATTTGCAAAATTAATAATGGAGTACCTAGGTTTAAAAATTTTACATATAGGAAAGCTTAAAATCTTGTTAAGTAAAAACTAAAAACTAGGATGAAGAATTTAAGATGAGAAATTAGCTAAAGAACATGAAACATTAAAGAAAATAATTCTTCCGAAAGAAGAAAAAAATGAAAAAGGCTAAGCTTAATCAAAACATGTCATGAGTATTGAGTATAATACAATAGCCATTTGTATACTTTAATTAAGATACTAACAGTATAATAAATTTATATAAATCATCTATAGTTTAAAATTAAATTAAAATATATAAAACTATATATATATATATATATATAGAGAGAGAGAGAGAGAGAGAGAGAGAGAGAGAGAGATTACAGCAAAAGTTAAATTCATAAAAGAGAGAGAGAGAGAGAGAGAGTTACTGATATTTAAAATAAGCATTAAAACGTAGGATAAATTAAAGTGAGCTTAAAAAAGCAAGGATGACAGATTAATTAACTGTTATGGTCTAAGATAGCAAATTGATTCAGTTGTGAGAAAGAGGCAACATTATGTGTAGGAATTATATATGTTGGGCAATGCCTTACTACGCACTTGTGTGTATATAGTAATCAAAAATATTTTTAAAACTCATATAAACTTGGGACTTATTGCTATTTTTTCATTTTCTTATAAATAAAAAATTGTTGGCCCACCGAATATTTATATTTAAAATTTTCTTATAAATAAAATGTGGGGCTTGTATAAACATAACTCTTAAATATTTATGCTTTGTTTACACTCAGCCTCAGATTAATAACTAATAAGCAAACTCCAACTCATTCATCACTATATATGTAAAACGCTTACCTACACTATCATTATATAAGCCTTGGCCTATGTGAATCACTCTGTCTCCCCCTGCATTTCCTTTTTTCCAATGGATGCTGGGGAAGAGACCATAGTTGTCCCCCACGTCATCAAGAGGAGAACCAAGTGGAAGAGACACTTTCCGGTCACCATGGCTTTGGCTTGTCATTCCTGACAGATTTTGGCCGCTGAAAACACGCGTTTTTCCTGTAGTGCTTGAAAAATTAAATTTATTTTGTGCAAATCTCTAAACACAACTTCTATATATGTTACATTTGGCGACTCTTTTTCATTCATAATCCTTTCATACCATTTTATCAACTTAATTTATCGTTGCAACTTCTACACTCCATTGCACCGGCTCAAACCACCTAAGTCAAGTTTTCACCATCTTATCATTAATAGGTCATACTCCCGTAGCCCCTTCCAAATAACTATTTGTTCAATTTATTATTCTTAGAAGTGTCACAAATCAATCAAATTTGATCACCCAACATGCTTTACCATCTCCTTGTATTGTAAATGTTGTTAGCAAAATAATTTCATTTCATCTTACATAAAAAAATAATATTTTCATTTGATATCATCACTTCTGAAAGTAAGTAAATGTTATATTTTTTCATTTCCTAATGCATTTGATGTTGCAAGATGAAGTACTAATTTGAAATCAAATATTAGCCCCTCATGTCACATTCCTATCTTCTATTTCATATGCATCATGAATCCTCTAGCAGCTCACCATACTATAACCAATATGTTCAAAAAAGGTGCCTCAAAGAATAATCTTTCATCCTTGAATATACATTGTAATAGTTCATCTAACTTTTTTAAAATTATTTTTTCAAAATAACTTCTAACCAAACATATGGGCCATAAACAATAAACACATTTCAATCAAAAATGACTTTGATGTAATTTTGAAAGTGTTGATCACAAGTCGGATTTCTTGAAGCCGCGTTCATATCCGACACATGTTCAACATACATTTGGATTCATTTAACAAATTTTGGCAATCTTTTTATTCTAACTATATAAGGAAATAAAACTGTTTTTACTGACAAACAAAATTAAGGTCCTGTGTCCTACATAATTAATAACAAAATTTCTAACCAGACATGAAGTTTATAGTTCATCCTATTGCAACAATACCAGTTGAATGTTATTCTAGTTTCTTACTACAAAACTAAAAAATAAAAGGGGAAAAAATTAGCTCCAACGTTCAAAGGTCATAATGTTCTGGCCACTCAATCATCTACGAAGCATTAAATGATAACTATCTTGAAAAATGCAATACTGCAAGCTTAGCCAGATATAGTAAGAATATCAAAAGAAATGCAAAAGAATAAAAGCATCAACTTAAGATTATGCATATGAAATAACAAGAAAAAAGCTAAGTGAAGTTTGTATGAGAGAAGTTACTTTAAGATCAAGCGCACAAAAGGCTGCCATAGCCCCTCCCATTGAATGCCCTACAACGGTTATTTGCATGTCCCCATACAGCTCTCTGATCTTTTGAAGACCATATAAAATCCCAGGACGCATGGTCGTGTTATGATAAGCAGAATAAAATCCATGGTGCACCTACAACAACATAGAAGAGTTAGGTATTCTTTTCAATTGAGCAGCTATTCATTGATAGATTATTAAAGCTCAAGAATACCAACCATTGAACCAGGCATGTCGGCATAGTTGAGATCAAGTTGTTTCCAATAAAGATCTTCAACCCAATTTTGTATGCTGTGCAGTCATAAAAGCAGTTTAACTCAATAATAACCTAAAAAAACTAGAAATACATGGCGTTCTGAATGCAGAGAATATGTTAAAAATTTCACTTTAATTGATGAAAATAGCAAAATCACCACCAAACACAAAAGTCGCTCAACACAACTATATAGAGTAGGCTTTCTATCAGCAAGTCAATATTTTTTTATCAAATAGGTAATGTGGTAAAATATCTATTTTAAAAGCATGGCAATTCTGTTGAGCAATCAATTTCATTTAACAAAAAAAATATGAGAAGTGAAATTTTAATGGGTCTCAAATTAAAATTTGGAGTCAATGCAGCTAGAAAATTAAGAAACATTCAGGTATCATAGTTTCAAGCATCTTGGAGTTGTTCTATAGAAGAACATGATGCATGGATCATAATATACCTTTTTAAAGTTAAGACTACACTGTTTAAAGTTTAAAATGAAAAAAAAAATCTTGAAGTACTAGGTGATAAGAGAATATCATGGTTGAAAATAGATTTTACCAAACCGTCAATAGTATAGATTCTTTTATATGGATTTAAGTGCAAGGTTATAAAGAATCTGCTAATAACCAAATTGAATGCATCAAATGCGAACAATAATATGAATTCATGGAAAGATTGGGATAGATAAATTAATAAACGACTAATGAAGGGCTACAAGAATAGAACATAAGGAAAATAAATTAGAAAAAAAAAATATTAATTAATCTTAATGTAAGAAATAAAGAGTAGAATATGAATCCAAATAATAGGTGGATGATTAAAGCAGATGATTAAAAAGGAGGAAAATATACACCAAAGATAACATGAATAAAAATTACGAAAAATAGTTGAACAAATCATATAGTGCTTAGGATAAGCCAAGTAGATGGCAGACTTAAGCCTTAAGCATGGTTCAAGTCATTTGGTTCATAAAAAAAAATAAGTCAATGTAAGCCAAAATAGTTTAGAAAGATTGTTTAGCTGCATGCTGAGACAATTGTTTTGTTGCATATGGGCCTAAGCTCATTTTCTTAACTCATCATAGTACTCTAATATAGCTTAAATATGAGTTAATTTATTATTAAGTGAGCTTGTCGAATATTATAAATTTAATGATAAATTAAATTTACCTTAATGAACTTTCCAAAAGTTTTAGCATCTCCCCCTTAAAATTTAAGATTTTCACCATATATTGTTCAATAAAAATGGTTGAGCGCTACTCATTTCAAGAAATTAATATTAAAATTGATCCATCAGTATTACATAAATATAAGTTCATCTTATAACAGTAAATCCATAAATAGTTTGATTACATCAACCGATATAAATATTTTTTTTTTACCTTCGGCTAACTTCAATAAATTGGAATGATGTCTTTCAGCATCAACTTGGTCTACCCACAATTATGGCACAAATTTCAATAATAGTAGCATTTAAGAAAGCTCAATATTTAGAATGAAAGGATGCTAAGGAGATATATAGAAAGGGTGGGTGAGTTCAACTAATGAGGTGTTGAGTGAGGAGATCAAGGCGGAGAAGATGGTAGTCGCAAGGAGGGGAGAAATGCACCGATTAGTTTTTTATGGGATGTTTACATAAACTTCATAATTACAGGGGAAAACACCACAATATTTTTTCCTAGCTTATCCTTAGGTGAGAGTCCCATGCTTAAATCTTTCAAACATATGGGGGTTGTTTTAATTTTTTTTTAGTTGGACTTCAAGACCAAAACTAGCTTAATCTAGACCTAAACCACAACCAAACATGTCAAAACCTCAAACATCACTCAATAAGAATGGATAAAAAATGAGGATTCACAAATCCGATCCTAAATAGCTATGATAAGGTAAATGATAATTATAATGATAAAACAAGAGATGAGTAGGCATATAATAAGAATAGTCAAGAGTCAAAAGCATATTGGTTTCGCTTTTTTTTCCTATAGAAAAAAAAAAAAAAAACTTTGGGGGCTATAAAATTCATAGTTTAATCAGTATGGGATAATTAACTCATAAGATAGTGCAGTGCTCTCTAGACTCTATTACTTTCATTAGCAAACATCACAAATAGGCCCTTCCAATCCCATGAATGATTAAAAGCGATAGCAAACATACAGAACATGGAAAACATTTTAATACAAAGGTCTTTGTTCATGGACTTTAAATGCCAGGTGATTGCAGCAATATAGCCATGAAATCATAGGACATCAACTATTACAATATATCTTCATTTGAGAAATATACAAGCTAATTAATTACCTGTGTTCTTGGGTTCCTCTAAAAACAACAATAACAGAATTAAGATCCTCTGCAACACCAACATATGCCTGCAGAAAGAATTTGTTTTTGTGCCAAGTAACAAGAGAGGGTAATCTTACACAGTGCAGAAAAAGATCATTGCAGAAAGTAACTTTCAACTATTCGAAAGCACCTGTAGGCAGTTTTGGACATCAACAACCACCTCAACCACTTCAAAACCCTGATTGCATGCAAAAATTATTGTTCACCAGTTTATACTAAGAATGAAACAGAATGAATTCCCATTAATATTCTCAAGACAGATCCATAAGCTTTAGAAATCCACAGAAAAGCATGAAAAAATAATGCTAAGGAATAATGTGAACATTCAGCTTCTGAAAATACAATAACTTTAATGGAAATAGAGGCAGATACCTCTGTCATATCTATACACCTAGAGCAGGTCCATGTTATGAGTGATGTTAGATCTGCGGTGTAAACCTGCAACATACAATTATATAGTGATAAAGAAATTTCTTCAAGTAAAAATGAACATCAGGTCCAGTCAATTTTTTTAAATAAATCATATAAAAAGCAAGGGTTCACAAAATTTCAAATTGCTGCTAAAGAAAAAAAAAGTTTTTTTTTCATAGCAATGGCTTATGTCTTCCTAAAAAAAAAAAAAAAAATTGCTTGGAAAAAAACTCACAGCGGCAGTATACTCCACCAGTATCTTGGCAAGAGTACTGTTATAACCTGAACTTTGATCGTCTTTAATCTTAAGTTCTGTTGCATGGTCAGCACAAAAGAAAGGAGGAAATAAGGAATAAATCGCTAAAAATATATTTTTAGCCTCATGAATTGTCCAAGAAATTAAAAAAAAAGGTATCTTGTTTCGAAGAGAAGATACCAAAGAAATGGATGGCGCTTACCTCTGCCTGCACAAGCTACAAACAGGCATGTAAAAAGTATCACCTTAAACAGTCTTCGCCGCTCCATGACCTACTTCAGCAACAAATCGAATATCAGCTTCAGCACATAAAGCTGAATGAACCTCAAACACCTATTTTAGGGGTATAATCTTCCGAAAAAGTCAGAAAAAGTGGCATATTAGTATTCCGGTTTTCGGAAATGCGTACAAGGAAACGAAGAACAGAAGAAGGAAAAAAGACCATCCAACTACATCCTCATAATTGAAACAAACAAGAAGGAAGCTTACCTGAAGAAGACGCAATCCGTTTCCGACGAAAGAACCACCGCAATGCAATTGATCGCGAAGGTGCTAGGGGCACACATATATCATTGGGAAAATCCGCCGACTTTGCTCTCCGCTTTCTTCCACCGACAAGAAATGGCGAGTAGGGTTGAAATGCCTCGTTCCGATAGAGATCAACAAGCAGAAGAAACCAAACGGAGCCTCTAAAAAAAATTAATAATAATAAACTTAAAATTTTGAAAAAGTCCTATAAAATCCTTTGCCCCTATTTCTTAAGGAAGCTCAAAGGATAAACTTAAAATTTTGAAAAAAAAAAATTAAAATAGGATATCTTAAAAAAAAATTGGCATTTTATCACCAATTTATAATAATATTAATATTATAATTTTATATATGACAATATTTTCTAAAATATTTTTCATCTAAAATATTATAATAAGAGATAACCAATTATATTCATGGATATTTATTAAATTTTAAGATGAATAATTTCAATTTCCTTATTGATATGAATTCTCTTTATTTCATTAAATCAAACTTAATTAACAATTGTACATATTAAGATTTAAATATTTATAGTTGATAAATTATTTAAAGAATTTAACTGTATGTAGAGGAAAATGGTTTGAATTAATTCAAATTCAAATTAATTTGAATCGTATTCAAACAGCACCATTTTGCACTCGATAGATGTAGGGGTGTCAATATTTGAACCGATCAGAAATCCGACTCGGACCCAACCTGGACCCGACCCGAAAAATTTTAAGTTATGGTCAACCCGTTTGTCAATCCCCGGGTCTGGTTCGGTTTGACTCAAAAATGTGAAATCGATCCAGGTTGACCCATAAACCTTGCATATAACATGATCTTGCCCTCACGCACAGACTCTGCACCCGAAACAGTATCGCAAGCAGGTTACGCTCACGCCCGCTTACATCGCTCTGCAGTCCGCACCATAGCGAGCCTACCACACTCGCATCCAGACTTCTCACCCGGACATATGACCAGGCCACACTTAGCGCTCTCTCACACCCCACGCAAGCTATGCTAGCCTTCACTCCACGTAGGCCGCTACGAGACCCTACTCAGACTCAATCCCAAGACGCAACCAGCACCAACTTCGACCCAACCTCCTAGGTCATACTGCTCTCAATCATGGCAAGAATCAGAAACTACCCCAAAAATTCAAGTGGAGAAGTGTTGAAAACTAAACTTATAATTGATATATAACGTTGAGTCACTATTGAGTATAATGTAAAGTGGAAGGCTACTAAATCTCAAAATTAATTTTTTATATATCATCCAAAATACTTGTACAATATAAGATCTATCTACAACATCACAGATCAAAGCTTGATATCAAAACTACTTGGCTCACTCATTATTCTTTCTTGAGGCTGTAAATGAAAGCAAAAGTAGGAGCAAGCTAACATGACTCAGTAGGCTATGACAATATTTAAAAAAAATAATAATAGCTTCAAATAAAGAACTAAAAATATTGAATTATTCAACTGAAGTACTGTATGGAAAATTGAAATTGAAATAGATACATATATTGAATGCATTTAAATAAGTACAGAAATTATACTGAGACTAACTAAAATATTAAAAAAAACTAGTTCATAGTAATTATTAGAATGGCTCTCAGGCCTCAATTTTTCATATATAACAATTAATAGAATCCCTTCTCGCTGCGAATAAAATCTCTCATCGCCGTCAACAGAATCCCTTCTTAATAAATATAGCCCTCAAGCTCTAGAATTTCTAACCCATAACAAATAATAGAATCCCTCCTCGCTACAAATAGAATCCCTTATTACCGTCAATTTAGATATTTCAATCATAGATATTAGAAATAAAGCATATTCTACACCACTGATGCAATGACAATATTCTTGTATAATTCTACAGAAATGCCCTAACAACTATCAAATAAATTTCCACCCGATGTTCTACAAGTTACCAAAACTAAGTTTTTTTAGAATTTATCATATAACTAGAGATCATGTATAACAACATTTAAAAAAAACAACAATTTATTCATAGGAGTAAAAGATTACAGCATCCACGGATCAACAACATTGCAACAAAACAGCAAAAATTCATACAATAAGATACAAAATAATAATAAGTAGAACAAAATAAAATTTAACCGGACTAAGGAATGGAAGCCCCTTACACTAGCCCCGCGAGCAGCCACGGACCATCCATAGTTGAGAACCCCACAAAGTCAAAGCCACCATGAAATCCAAGCAAAAGGTCAAAACACCCAAGTTGCCAACCAGCCGAGCCAACGAGGGGAAGCTAGAGGCTTCCTCATCATTGTCCACAATGCCATCAAATACCACTGCCGATGTGAAAAAAGGAAAAAAGCAGGGCCTATTTCTTCTTGTCTTTACTTTTATGCCTTTTACCACCATTAAGACTACTATGTTCAATAAAATTAACAACCAAACCTCCTCAAAATCATCAAATTCCTCTTCCTCCCCCCAGCAGAAGAAGAAAAGGAGTCATCCAAAACTAACCAATCAATTTGAACCAAAACAGAGTTCTTCGCAGACTTAGCCACATGAAACTTCAATTCATTGTTAGACATAACTGAAATATGGACATTAATAACAGTGGTAGTACCTCCCAAAATAGCGTTGGAAACAGGCAAAGACACAACAACATGTTCCACATAATTGAAAGGAGAGGACACACCATAACCAACCAACACAACAGGGTCAGCATGCACAAAATCCCAAGAATTAACCTCCACAGATAGATCTCTCGGGCCACGCATAATATCCACACAAGAAAAACTAGCCTCAAGATTGGTATCACAAATCGTATCTCCAGCCTCGCCAAGGGATAACCAAGGAGTAAGGGAACCAGGTTCCACAGCAACATCAACAGAAAAATGAGAAATCAACTTTTCCCCCAAAAACACATCTTCACTCCCCACCACAAGGCCAGTATTCTCAGGGACAGATGGGGAGGGAACCAAATTATTAGAGTTTCCACAGTCGGGCCCTTAGAGACTAGAGCCAACGGACAAACCTCACAGGCAACATCTAAAGCTTTAACCGGCACAACAGTAGCTAGGTTTTGATCTAATTAAGCAACCACCGGGGAATTAACTCTAACATCCGCCTCCTCCATAGGTAAAACAGGATACACTTTAACCACATTCACCCCAAATAACTCACACGGGGTAGAAAAAAAGGAATAGGAAGGGATTTAGAAGTAGTATTAAGATGGGGATGCAAAATACGGTTTTCCTCTTTTAAATGACCTAAAGAACTACAGTGCACACAAAAGTGAGGAAGATCATCCAAAATCACTGATTGAATATACCCTAAATTAGGTGAACCCACCCAAATCTTATCCAAAAATTTTTTGGTGATATCTAATTCAACAAGGATGCGTGCAACTGAAAGACGGGAACCAAAGGCAGTCGCACTGTCAGTTTTCAAAGTTTGCCCGAACAAATAACCCAACCCAAAGAGAATCCGAGGAGAGAAAAGATGAGGCCTAAGGCAGGGAAACAAAATCCATATGGGCACAATTGGAGAATTGACCTCAATATCCAAACTTGGGATCCATTTTATAACTTTCATATAACAGTTATTTACAAAATAAGAACAATGAGATAAGATTTTATAGTAAACAAAATCATTGACAAGCTTGATCAAAACATTCATATGGCTAAGAACAGTGACAAAGCAATCTCCATTGAGCTTTAAGTTGAAAAAACTTCCGAATGAGAGCAATGGAGGGTCGCTTGCTAGGAAACTTGCCGACCAAAGCAAATTCAAAAGGAGCAGTGAGCGAATTAATTTCCTCCTCTGAAATCAACAACGCCGGTAAACCACGGTGAGAAGAAATTCTCATATTAGGAAAAGGGACCGAACAACTAGAAGCCCCAAACAAAGCATCTTTAAATGAAAGAGCCGGGTAGGCAGCCCGTGTCACGAAGCCGGGTAGACGCCATGAAAGCCAAAAAAAAAAAAGAAAAACGAAACTAGCTGAACACCTAGAATAATGAACTAGATAAGAGAGAGGACTTTCTTAAGACGAAGTAGGAGACAAAGAACACCCACACGGCAGTGAATGCCAAGAAGGGGAGAAAATCCTAGTAGAGCGAACATCGCGATTTAACATGTATAACAACATTATAAAACTTTAACTGAACTAAAACACTATATTTAGATGTCAAAATGAATATCTAAATTTATAAAAATCATTACTTTTCAAAATCACCTGACAGAAAATCTCAAATAAATACTCAAAATAATTAGAATAGTTGTACTAACAAAATATCAAAAGTTACATGGATGAAAGTTAATAGAATTTGATAAAATTATATTTTTATAAAACTAAATTATAAGTTAGATCGAAAAAATCCCAAAAATTTTGAATTATTTAAAACTGAGATAGGCAAAAATGTAATCTATCTTGACCCAAATAATTTTCCAATTAGGCCAACTGCTGAAAATGACTTGAAGCAAAGTTTCTCTCACTAAAAAATTCTCTCTTCCTGTCACTAGGCAGTTACTCAAATGGAATGGATCAGGTGGAATAGTGGATTTGGATATTTTTAATATAAAATTTTGGGCTAGCACCATAGCACTCCAAGGCGCCACGCGCTCCTTCAGAAATTCACAGCATTGAATTAATTTCAAAAGTTCCTTAGAATGTAGGTGCCAGAGAAAACCCAATGCCAGAGCGTTGCCAAACCCAATGCCGGAGTGTTGCCAAACTCAGCAATTGGTGCCACAGAGAAAAATTTTTCATATTTCATAAACATGCAATTAGGCCCCTAAAGCCCACTTCAAAACACATGCAAATATTTTTTTATGCACACAATTCATTCTTAAATATCTAAGAGAGTTCAATTATAAA